TTACCAAAGCCTGCTCTAACAGATGAACTAAAATGCAGTGTGCCACTGAATTCCCAAAGAAGTCAAGAGTTTCTGCTTGAATTTTGCAAAATACCGTTTGCTACTGTTTCATATTTCCCCAGCACTACATCCAAAATTTCATCTGTTCTTATCTCACACATGGAAGAAAGACTACAGTCTACTCACCCCTCTTCCTAACAAGCCAGAAAATCTTAATTAACTGTCCCTTTACACTCCCCTTACAAAATCTACTAGTCTTCAAGGTTCTTTTACCCTTTTTGTTTGTTTGTTTTCTGTCTTCTTGCCTCCTGTTATCTTTCCCTGCTCTCTAGATTGTTTAACAAATTCTTCATACGCAATTAATTTTAATTCTTTTTCCTCTTTCTTAATATGAGCAACTGACTTTCAGCTTAGTCCTTCTTCTATGACTATAAACAGACAAGCATGACCTGTTGTGTCTACTGCCTCCAAACATTCAAGACATCTTGGACATCAACAAGGCCAAGTGCAAGGTCCTGCACCTGGGGAGGAATAACCCCAGACACCAGTACAGGCTGGGGACTGACCTTCTGGAGAGCAGCTCTGCAGAGAAAGACCTGGGCGTCATGGTGGATGATAAGTTGACCATGAGGCAGCAGTGTGCCCTCGTGGCCAAGAAGGCCAATGGGATCCTGGGCTGCATTAAGAAGAGCATCTCTAGCAGGTCGAGGGAGGTGATCCTGCCCCTCTACTCAGCCCTGGTGAGGCCACATCTGGAGTATTGTGTCCAGTTCTGGGCCCCACAGTACAAGAGGGATGTGGAGCTACTGGAGAGAGTCCAGCGCAGGGCTACAAGGATGATCAGGGGCCTGGAACATCTGCCCTATGAGGAGAGACTGAGGGAGCTGGGCCTGTTCAGCCTGGAGAAGAGAAGGCTGAGAGGGGATCTGATCAGTGTCTATAAGTACCTCAAGGGAGGGAGTGCAGAGGATGGTGCTGGTCTCTTTTCAGTGGTGGCCACTGATAGGACTAGAGGAAATGGCCAGAAACTGAAGCACCAAAAGTTCCACAGGAACTTAAGGAAAAAATTCTTAACAGTGAGGGTGACAGAGCACGGGAACAGGCTGCCCAGAGAGGCTGTGCAGTCTCCTCCTCTGGAGATCTTCAAAACCCGCTTGGACGCAGTCCTGTGCCACGTGCTCTAGGTGACCCTGCGTGTGCAGGGGGGTTGGACTAGATGATCTCTAGAGGTCCCTTCCAACCCTAAGCATTCTATGATTCTATGATTCTATGACTGATTTACAGAGTAACAGTGTAATACATGTCATACATATACTACAAAGTAATTTTCAAAATGGTGAAATATTTGCTAAGTCTTTGCACCTTGTAGATTCTCATCCTTTTATCTTTTTTCCTGGTCTTTCAGTACCCTCAAATCTTTCAAAACCAGTTGTTTGTTTAGATGGTCTAAGTATTCATGCTATTATGACTAATATCAAATTATTATTTTGTGTGACATTTTCTACAGAAATATGTTTTGTTTTTTGAAAGCTAAACCCAGGTGGTTTCTCTCTTATTTATTCTGTTTACCAGGCAGAATACTTTTTACTTTCTCTACACGATTTTATTAATTCAATGAATAAGGGTTAACAGAGGTACAGAAAAGAGTACTTAAGTTCACAAATGAAAAATTGAGGGAAATTCATAAAAAGTGCCATAAACTAATATCAAAGCCTAAAATGTACCTAAAATGTCGCACCCCTTTTCCATCTGTGCTTAATAAAAATCTTTGTTTCATTGTTTTATACACATAAACAGTCACAATAAATATTATTTTTTGATCTGCAAAAATAAAAATTGCACCTTCTAAATGAAAATGTCCGAAAACAAGAAAATTCACTGAACCATAATTCATTTCATACACGAGTGTTTTGGAATAATGTAATTTCTAGTTGAGACATGAATAATATGTCTGTAGTGGTTTCTGCTCTTAAAAGGAATAGAAAAATGACAGACATACACTTACTGGAAAAATGACATTTGGACTGTACTCAAGAGTTTTTGCATATGTCCTACTCAGAATACAACTGGTAATATGTATGTCTCTGTTGAGGTAACTGCAGATTTCCAGGACCACAAATCAACAAACATCTTTGAAAAAAAATATAAACTGAAATAAGATAATTCGCATGTTTAAGGCTACATTTTTTAAGAGCCTAACGAAACCATCAAATTAGAAGCCTAATGAAACCATGTAATTCTTTGGCAAGCATCAGTAAACAATTTTCTTTAGGTGATCTTATGAAGCAAAATAAAATTGCCAAGTTGGAAACCGCTGTTTGAAGAAAAACAACTTACAGCAGTGTAAATCCATTATCACTACCTTAGGATACTTGCCTTGTCAGGCTTGGAATAAGTGACTAAAGACTCTTTAGAGTGAGGTGAAGCGCTACAGCCAAAAGAGCAACATTCACTTATTGCCTTAGGAGGCGTATAGAAGTAGCACCAAGGTCTAGTAACACCCTGCATTCAAGTATCACAAGCAATTTTGAGAGCAGGGTCTGGAAATCAGAACTCTCCTCTTTTGGGAGGCTGTCATTATCACTATGCTACATCCCTATTTTTTCACTTGTTTCCTCACTCTCGGGAGCCTGCCCTGCATACCATGGTACAAGTTCATGAAAAAGAGTTGAGGGTCCCTCAGCACAATCACGTTGCCTCGTGACTATTAATGGAATACGGAAGATATCCACTTCTAATTAAATTCCAAAGTATTTTCTCAGGCTGAAGAGAACAATGAACTTCAATTTCCCAGTACCTGATCAATGAAATGTGCTGAGAACTAAGCTATTGTATAGAAATCCACAGCAACACCACTAGTACATCTCTACAGGACCATGTATATGTAGCCTAGTTTCATAATGAAATTGCTTATGCAACTGTACTGTCTGTTGATTCCTATTCAGATTTTTTTTTTAACCTGCTCCGCTTTTCAAATCCAATCTGGTAGGAAGGGAAGGGTCTCAATACTTACAGGATCCTGTTAATGAGTAATTAGGCAGAAATTGTAATCAGTACACCTATTAATGAAAGCGATTTTGCTTGGCAAGTCATTAACCAGCCAACATGAGTAGTTCTGAAAAAGGATAGACTATGACATGATTCTCAGTCAAGTAGTAACAACAACATGATAAGGAGATAAGGTTACTATAAAGGAAGAGTGTTTGAAGAACAAGAAAAAAAAAAAAGAAGAGATGTCTGACGGTGAAGAAAAGGCTATAAAGAACATGACAGGCAAATTGAAGTTATTGTGGTGGTTAGGAATTTTTAGGATATTTAAGGACACTAGACTAAATCTATTAGAAAGGATGCTTAATTCATTTAAAAAACTGGAAGAGCCTTTATATGAAAACAGATGTGCTTAATTGTCATCCCTTGGTGTGCGTTGAGGGTCTTAGGAGAATTTGGGATCAAGATGTGTAGTTATGGAAACAAAAATAGTCTAGAAAAAACAAGCATTAATATACTCAATTAAATCAAGAAAATAGAGCTTCTAAGCAAGCAGTAAGAAGTCTAAAGTTCTTTAAGTAATTTTATTTGGTAAACTTGAATCATACATGGAGCTTCAAGAGCTAGGCATGCCTTCTGTGTTTTCCAGTCCTGAACATCAGTACCTAAATTGTACTAAGTGCTATTTTGGATCCAGGCCTAGGGGTTCTGTATACAATCAAATCCTAAATAAGCCCACTAATCTCAAGTAGATGACAAGTAAGAAATAATCTGCTACAAGTAATACAAAGATACAAACAAAAATCTGGTAGTAAGCACAATACCCAAAACATTTGCCTGGTGAGTTTCAGTTTTTATGGCTTTACTCAGCAGTCCTCTGCTGAATTTCTAAAGCTAATATTTTAATTTTGGCAGAATCCTGTAATTATAACTCTAAAAGGCCTGTTAGGAAGTTTCATAATCTGTCTTCTATCTGAGAGATGTTTGCTACCCTGATTTCCTTTCCCCGGTGTTGACAGAATTATACAAGTTCACAACACAACATACTGTTCTGTAAAATATAACGAAAGGCCTAAAGAAAATACAATCAAGTAAATGAAATACTATACGAATATAGTGTATCTATACAAATATACATATATCCTACTTTCAAACTGCAATTGCAAATTGAAATTTAAATATTCCAATTGCAATTTAAGGTATTAAGACATTTATCTATTCCTACAGTTAACAGAGATTAAGAAAGAAAGATTAAGTATGGCAGTATACACCTTCCATCATGATACCATGCTAGTGTGCACATATATTTTCACTGTATTAATTATTCCTTGTGTTATTATAAACATTCTTGCTCAACTGCAATATTACAGTCTAACCCAAGTTAGGCAAAGCAGATGTATACTGCCCTAATAGAAGAGCATTTTGGTCAGCTCTCATTGCCCTCTGCTTTCCAGTAGAGAAATAGTGAAATCTTGTATGCAAAGGAGAGATCTTGTATGCAAAGGTGTATTTATCACACAGACATAACATTGTCCATCCTCCCCAAAATATAAAGTCTATTGCTTAGCATCAATTAAATTTTTAGCCCAAAATTCATTTTTGATAGAGCTGTACAATAAAACATATACCTTATTTTGGCAAATCTGATGGACTGATCTAGAATGAACCTCTGGTATTACTGCTGAGCTGCAGCCTGCATTGAGGTCAAAAACTTCCAGAGCTCTGTTGCTACCAGCTGTAAGTACAATATCTGTAATGTTCTCTCTGTTAAAGTTAAATCGATCTAAAGAAACAGGAGTGCATAGATATACAGAAAGACAAATAAATAGGTATCACATCTCTCTTGTATTCTGTGTTCTATGAGCAGCATCAAAATTTTTTTAGGATTTACGATCCTAAAAAATTTAATTCTGAGACTGAACTTCAATACCACAAAAAAAGTATTTCTACTCTAACAGGAAAAGACTTCCAAACAATCAAATACTAATTACGTTAACTGAAGTTATTTTCATTCCAGTCTACAAATCTAATTTGTCATAGGATACAAGAGTAGAAATCATTTACTGTTGAAAGGCTGGTGATCTCCACTGTGGAAGCCATGGGAAATTTCTGAATCAATTTGCAAACACTTCTCTGTTTATATCTGAAAAAAAAAAAAAAAAGAATGATAGGGTTAAAAAAAGTTAAAATTTGTAGTCACCAATAAACTCACACTGGAATCATTAATTATAAGAAAAAATTTCAGATTGGTTATTAGAAATTAAAACCATACATATTTTGATTTGTTGCATCTATTTGTTGCTTCTATAAAAACTGTAAAGAACCAATTTAGATAAAAATAAATAAGACATTCAAATATCTAAGACAGATCTGCCATCAACATAAAATATCCAAATAAACCTGCCTGATTCTTGAAAAAGTTGGAAAGACATTTTAAAGTAACTATGATTAAAAAAAGAAAAGAAGAAAAGAAATACACAGAAATACTACTGACTTTAGTGCAGCTTTTCATGTGCTATGTAGGAGAATTAAGAAAAAGATGATGAGGAGAAAACAGTGAGAAAAGAATAATTCCCACTTAGATGGGCATGGGACAAAGGGCTGATCACACACTACTGAGGAATTAGGCCTTCCAGCATGCACTGAACTCTTTTAGGACCTTGGCATAAAAATGCAATGTATTGACTCAAACCAAATCTGACTAATAAGTATTAATACAATTTAGGACAAGCTTCTATGTCTTCAATTCTTTCTTTCCACCAATGCTACCAGTTTCAAAAACTGAGCTCTGTTTGGCAAAAGCAATGTCTATCAGTAGTATCCATTTAAATGAAAAATGAGTAATGTTTTGCTTTTGCCTTTCTTGGCCATTTTGAAGCAGAGAAGTCCCAGGTGGTAACTAGAGCTACTTCAGCAACACTGGTAGAAACCAGATTATTTTGTAATTTAATACATGAAACTTTTGTGGTTTCCATAAGCATTTTATCTGATTAAATTAATAAAATAAACTGCTCAAGATTCAGAAACAACGTTATCTCCATTTCTGTGTAAAAATATCCATTTCTGTGTAAAGCTAGCTTTAAACAAGCTGAGAAAGATACTAAGAACAATCCAATCAAGGTAGCATGAGTCTTCTCCTGGCCTAATTTA